TCACCTGTAAATCATTTCTCATTATTCCCCCATATGTATGTAATTATCTGTTGACCAAATTAGTTGTGGTGCTTCCAAGATCTACGCAGTTTTTCCCCCAACAATCTTGAACAACGCATTTTCCAACAAGAACGTCTAGACAATGGCAATCCCAGATATGAGCAGATATTTGTGCAGATATATCTCTGTTGAATGGCAACCATTTCCCCGTTCTAAGCTGTCACTTCTCTTTGGGCAAAAGAAGAAAAAGACTTCATCGCAGGGGCACAGAATTAGCCGAACAGAAGCCAAAGCCCCTCGCAGCAGAAGCTCATTGCCAATGCAAACATTTCTCACGTAAATGTCAAAATATCAAAAGAAATAATAATATTAATTTAACAAGTGCGGTGGTCATTTCGTGGGGATCGTATCGTATCGGATCGGATCGGTATGGGTTGGGTTGGGGTTGGGGGCACTCTCTGCCAGTCTTTTGACTGTTTTGCATTCACGCGAATCTTTTGGCCCAATTTGCCTAAACAGATTTTTGTCTTCGATTTGGGGTGTCTCTCTCTCTCTCTCTGTCTCTGCTCTTCCTGCCGCACAAAAATTATAGTTATGCATTCTCTAACCGAATGGTATTGTGTAATGCCCAAGAAAACAAGACTGTGGGAAAATTCCTATTGGAAAAATATTCGTAGAAGTGACCCACTGTATGTATTTCACTTTCTTTCTGACCAGAAGTAAGCGGATTTCCTTTTTGTATGCCAACTCACCCCACACGCAGTTTTTGCGATGGATCCGCTTCTTGTCTCTCTCTCTCTCTCTCTCTCTCTCTCTGTGTGTGTCTCTGTTGTTGCTCTCGGTTATAGGTGGCTGATGATTCAGATGTCGATGCCAAATCAATAATATATTACACACAGGCACAGGCACACAGAGATATCCGTACCCGTACCCGCGACACGCGTTTCACTGTTCCTCTCGTTTCTACTCGAGATTTTCACGAATTTTCAATTTCATCACCAAGCCAAGAAGTGTTCGCTCGAAAGTGTGTGGTGTAGTGTGGTTTGTGGCATGTGCTTTTTGGTGGGAGGGTGCTGATCGATCGATCGATGATCCTCGCCAAGTGTCAAACCGAACGAACGAACGAAACGAAACGAAACGGTTCAGACCGTACAGACGGTGGGGTGTTTCCGCTGTCTCAAAAGAAAAGCGAACGCAACGAGATCCCAGGAAGAACTGAATCTTCAGCGGAATACCACTTACAGTTTTTACATCGGCAGGCGGCACGATCCACGACGGCTCCGAGGGAGACGTGTACGACAGCCAGCAGCTGTTCGCCCGAGGATCGTCGGACAGAAGAGCGAACGGAGAAGTTCGGACGGAACAAGTGTGTGCGGTGTGCGGTTTATAAATAAATCGAAAATACGAGCAATGTTTTCATTATGCCTCCTCTCCACAGCTCTCTGTGCGCTCTCTAGCTCCGGCGCTGGCCTCGGCACCCTCTCTCTGCCGCTCTCTGGCTCCCACTGATTGGAAAACTGTTCTTTTTGAAGTGCAGGCAGCAGGCCAGCAAGCAGGCAGGACCACTGCGCAGAATTTTCCTCCTAACGAGTCAGTGTCAAAAACCTCATTGAGTGTACCGTTGGAGTGTGTCTGTCTGTGTGTGCCCCCATGCTGATCTCCTTCTCTCCCTCACACTCGGTCTCCCTTTGGCTTCGTGGTTGGGCAGTTTTAACGCTGTTGCCGGCTCTTCTGCTTCTTCCTTGTGTGGTTTCTCCTCTGCCTTTTTGCCCGTGTGACGCAGTGAAATGCAATTTGGCATTTGTTCGTGCTTTCGGCGGGCATCCAAAATAGATTCCGCTCACCTGTACCCCAAAACCAACCCATCCCCCTCAAGCAGTCCCTCTCTCTCTCTCTCTCTCTCTCTGCATTTTGGCTATTCCTCCCCCTGGCTGGCCTTTGAAGGCAAACGAATTCCTCACAGGTGTTGTTGTCTTCGCCTCTCTTCTTCTATCTATCTTCCCGTTCCCGTTCCCTTCTCTTTCTGCCTTTCCGGCGTAATGAACTTAATGTCGCCCCGTCAGGTGGTGGTGGCAGGGTAGTGCTGGGTGTGTGGTGGGGCTTTTGGCTATTGGTTCGGATATATTTATGGTTCATTTTCTATATTCTATAGCCAATATGATTTATGTGTGAGTGTGGGCACTCGTTCTGTCGTTGGTTCTGGTTTAAATTGGTTTTTGATGTTGGACAAAAGATTTTCACATCACAGCTCACAGATCAGACATCAGACATCAGACATCAGAGAGCGGAGAGATACAACCCATTCCCCCTGCTTTTTCGCACTTCTTTGGGCATTTTCACACTTTACAAGTTGCAGCCCACGCACTGATCCAAAGACAAAGGAAATCGCAGCAGCAGCACGAACGCCCGCCAAGGGTGTGGCTGGGAAAGAGAGCGGGAATGGAGGATGGATTATGGGGCGAGCGACTTTGTCTGGCGCCAACATGGAAATGCAATTTGAATGGTAAGGTCAAGATGTGGGGCCAGTGCCATGCACCAGAGAGCGGAGAGAAAGAAAGCTTTGGACCAAGGAAATGCCAAAGGGGGTTGGAGGTAGACACACCAATGCGTGACATGTGCTAAAGACACTTTGTGGCAGGCAGCGTCGACTTTAATCACGGCAATTAATAAGAGAAGAAAGGCAAGAGACAGGCGGAAAAGGAGAAAGATCAAGAGAGAGGACTGGGACAAAGGAAGGAAGTGGCCCATACCACCGCGGGCCATCCATCCCCATGTAAGATTCAACCTCTGATCAGCAGCGCAGCCCCCATCCGACAACAACTAAGCCCCGCGACAGCGCAAGGCGAGGCCTCACCCAGAGCGAAAGACCATTCTGGAGACCAAGACCGCGACAGCGACTGGCGGCCATAAATCTATTTTCGTCCTGGTTCCAGCCAGGCCACCGTCACCTACCCTCCCCTCCTGGCAGCTCCACGGCTGTGGCTGTGGCTTTGGCTGCTGGCTGCTGGCTGGTGGCACCACTCCACTCGACTCTCTCCTCACTTGCTGCGCAATTGCATTGGCAGGCAAGCAGGCAGCTCCATCCTCCCGTCTGTGCTCCGTTTATTAAGTGCCCCTGGATCTTTATTTTTAACTGCTGCATCTTGTTGGTGTTGCTGCTGCAGCATCTCTTGCTGCCACGCAGCATCGGGTGGCTCGTTTCTTTGCGTAGGTAAAATGCAATACGAGGGTACAAAATAAAAGTAAAAGTAAAAGCCAAAGCCTCAGCCTCAGCCCCATTCCGATTCCCATTCCCATTCCCATCCCCACATCGATGTGTCGAAGAATCGACAACCACATCCGTAAATTCCATCTCAGTCCAGACGGAGGTTCTCCAATTATTTACACAGATAATAAATAAGCGGAATCAGCCTTAATGCGAACTTCAACAGCCAGAGACTGCGGAAAATAAAGAATGAGGGAAATCTCCTCTTTTTCTGTATTTTCTTTCTTTTGCCAGCCATTTCTTCGGCTCGTCTGTTGTTTTGTAAATAATTTTATAATTGATTGTTAATTGAAGCCTTTCGGGGGAAGGGATGATTACGATAACGATCATGATGCGATTGCGGTTGCGGTTCCATAAATTAAACGTTCATCTTTTCGGTGATCACGTGAGAGATCTGTGAATTCGGGAATTATGCCACGAGCCAACGACTCGACTCCACTTGAGAGGAGACCTCAGATCTTTAGCGATTACTCGAGAGGCATAACTTATATCGCAGAGTGTGACTTCATCACCCCATGATGCATCCATGCAGCATCCTGTTTATAGGAATTCCTTTTACTCGTAGAACACTCAAGGGTTGAGGCGGATGGATGAATGGTTGAATCTCTCTCTCTCTGTTTCACTCTCTGTCCCTGCACCTGACACGGCCGGATATGTGTGTAATTCCTGTGCGAGGAATCAGAGTTTGCAGCTGAAGTTTGGATCGTGCCGCTGCCTGCAGCAATATCATAAAGTTCTATTTATACAGAGGCTGACAACAACCGACGGATGGGGTATGGACTGCACCACTGGACGGGTCTCTGATTCGGATTCCGAATCGGATTCGGATTAGGGGAGTTGCGGATGCATGGAGATGCACACACACAGGGGGGAAGTTCAAACTCCACATCCAAATCCACGGCGCTGCTAAATTTGAACTTTTTGAAGAGCAAGTGAAGCGGCCAAGCGACTCCGTAGGTGGCTGCCACTTGGCAAGGGCCTCGGCCAGGATGGGGGGAGCGTAAGAGTAAGGTGGTGGATGTGCCTCAAGTGGCGGCAGTGGCTGTTTATTGGCGGCTCGTGGCTCGAAAGGGAAGAAGTGCAATGGAAGCGAAACATCAACCGTGTCAAAATTCAAAGAAACAAAAGCGGAAATGTTGTTGTTTCTTTATTTTTAACAGCGGAAAACGTGGGGAAAACAAAAACAGAAATCATCACTTGGATGGTAATGGAAACTAGCTTTGGTCAATGAACTCCATTCCCATTGGCCATGTCTGAGAAATGAGCTATTAACCTGAAGAACTTCCACTTATTAACATACTAAATGGGGAGAAAGTTCTTGTAGATTATGCAGAATAGTATTGAATTAGGTTAATTTTAAATTTTTTTAATATTAATTAATACTATTTTTCTATTGTTTCTTTAAATTCGCGATTTTTCATTTGATTTAATTGAATTTACCGCCCTATAATCGATTATCGAGTATATAATATCGATTATGCTCTTATCGATACCTAAAGTACTCATGACACGATATATTTCTGATGGTCATGCTTTTACTCATAATTGCGTTCATCGGTATATTAATATAAATAAATACGCGGTCACACTGAAAGTACTCATAATTGCGTGCCTTGTTTGAGCATGAGACGGTATATTTCTGAATACCAGGCGGTATTTTTTTACTCATAATTGCGTTCTTCGAAATATTGCTGGGGGTCTGGCGGTATATTTGATTTATAAATACGCGGTCACACCGAAAGCAAAGTCACGCTGTAGGAGCGAAAATTTTGTTAATTTCGCGAAAATTGTTAAAAAAGTGTCGCAAACAACTGGAAAATTGCATAAAACAATGAATAATAGTAATTGGAACTGAAAGCAATAGGAAAATCACATTGCAAAGGCGTTTAGCCCCGAAAAACACACATTCAAGGGAACAAGAGGCACAACATGGCGCCGACACCCCTGCCGCTGGAGCAAATGGCCGGCGTTGGTGGCTACCTGCCAGCTGGCCAGGAAGGCGGACCGCGCATCAATACCATGTCCATGTCGGTGCTGATCGATTTCATCATCCAACGCACATACCACGAATTGACGGTGCTGGCCGAACTGTAAGTACACCCCTTAGAGAAATTCGATATGGAAAATGCAAGCTTAATGCGAATTCTGTTGTTTATTTATGTTTAGGCTTCCAAGAAAAACTGATATGGAGCGCAAGATTGAAATCTATAACTATGCAGCTCGCACACGGCACTTGTTCACTCGCCTCAATGCGCTGGTCAAGTGGGGTAATTCGGTGTCCAAAGTCGATAAATCGTCGCAGATCATGAGCTTCCTGGACAAACAGAACATGCTGTTCGTGGAGACGGCCGACATGTTGGCCCGCATGTCACGGGAGACGCTGGTGCGCGCCCGCTTGCCCAACTTTCACATTCCCGCTGCCGTTGAAGTGCTCACCACTGGCACCTACAACCGCCTGCCGACCTGCATACGCGAGAGGATTGTGCCCGCGGATGCCATCACGCCGGCAGAGAAGAAGCAGACGCTGTTGCGCCTCAACCAGGTGATTCAGCATCGCCTGGTCACGGGAAAACTTTTGCCGCAGATGCGTGAATTCCGCATCAAGAATGGACGCGTCACTTTCGAGGTGAAGCACGAGTTCAGTGTCGCCCTGACGGTTATGGGAGACAGCCAGAGTGTTCCCTGGCGTCTGTTGGACATTGATGTACTCGTGGAAGACAAGGAGACGGGAGGTAAGTGCTTCAAACGGTTTCCCTTTTAGTTCTCTAACTTATATTCCTTCTCCTTCCTTGGTAGATGGTAAATCCCTTGTGCATCCTCTGCAAGTGAACTACATCCATCAGCTGATCCAAGCGCGTCTGGTGGATAATCCCAATGCCCTGAGCGAGGTCTACAACTGTCTGCACTACTTCTGCCAGTCGCTGCAGCTGGAGGTGCTCTACACCCAGACTCTCCGCCTCAACTACGAGCGGCTGGACGACAACAACATCACCGTGGAGGAGTATGTGCCAGGTGTCAAGCTAACCGTCTCCTACTGGCGGGACCTCAAATCGGAGCTGGGCTATCGTCTCACCGTTCAGTCGGATCCCAGTGAGATTGGCCGTCCGCTGGCCGTGGTTCATGTACCCTCGCTGGGCGCCAAGGAGTCGGCGGAGGTGGCCGATCGCGCTGTCCGCTCCGAGCATCTCTCGATGGAGCGGCTGATTGTGCACACGGTGTACATACGATCAGTGTCCAGGCTGAGCGACCTGAAGCTGGAGTTCCAGGCGTTTCTCAAGGATGTTGACTGTGAGTGTAAATGTTTGTGGATTCCGCGTCAACAAAGGAACCCAATCTAAATGCTAATCTCCATTGCAGTTAACCTTCAGGGCACTCCAGCGATTCTCACGGTGCCTGTGCTCTCGCCATGCCTGCGCGCGGAGCAAATCCACATTACCATCGACACGCACACGGGCATGTTCCGCTGCCATGTGCCCAAGCACTTGGACTGTCCCATCACGGAGGAGATGCAGGAAGCCCTGAACACAGATCGCAGTAAGCTGCCGTCACTGCTCTCGGAGTTGCGCTATTGGATCACTCATCGTAGGTGCGAGAAGACACTGCAGCATCTGCCGGCCACGGCAGTCGACACGCTGACCTTCCTCACGTTGCCCGAGCAGGAGCTGTTGCAGCAGGGTCGCCACAAGATATACGTGAAGCTGCACAGGCATCCCAATATAATTCTGGTAAGCCATTGAGCTTCAATCTCTTGGAATAAGCATCTAAAGGCGGTCTCTCCTGTTGATTCCACAGGTGGTTCAGTTAAAGGAGAAGCCAACGATGGCAAACGAAATGGAATACACATTCCACTTGGGCTTTGTGGCTTTCCAGAAGGATGAGGCTGACGTTATAGACGATTCTGCCAAGCAATTGGTGTCTGTGGTGGCACAGCCACCATCGGATATCCCCAAATTCTTCACTAAACTGATGCGACTCATCGAGTTTGACACATTTGTGGCCACCCATGGACCCGGCACGGAGGTGGATGGTGAGCAGATGCAACCCACAGAGGGACTGCCTTCGATTTACTAACAGCATTTGCATATCCTTGCAGCGGAGGTTTCTCCACACAAACGCAAATCTACTGGCGATATTCTAGCGCCCCCAGCCAAGCAGCAAAAAACAATATTCCCCGCGTACTTCATTCCCGAACTGGCCCACGTTGTGGCCATGTGCGATGAGAAGATTCCGTTTATGAATCTGGCCCAGACCCTATCCAAGCACAATATTCCGCATAGCGGCCTACAGGTGGAGGCGAATGCCACATCCTTGGTGCTGAAGATTTTGGCACTGCCACAGCCAGGCAAATCGGCCACAACATCGGGCCAACAGGCACAGCAAGGAGCTGCCAATGCTGCTACTACTGCAGCGGGCGAGTCCAAGCCACAGCCGTTGAGCGGCTCCTCGGCTTTCCCCAAGATCGAGCCACATGTCTGGGACGATCTGATGCGGCGTGTGCTCTCGATATCGGTGCGCTCGCAGACGAACAAGAACAGCCAAGTGAGAATTTGGGTGGTGGAGTTTGTCTTCTACAGCACACCGCTGCAGAGCTGCCATCCCAAGGAGCAGGGCAGCCGGCGCACCGTTTACTTAACCTACGAGCAGGCCAATCATGACTTCTCCAAAACAGTTGAGGAACTGCTGAACGACTGGTCCAAGATTGTGTACCTCTACACGCTGGTCCATGACTTTGCGGAGCAGCTGAAAAATAGTGAGTACAGTCGAAGGGGTTGTGGGAGGCGGTTTATTCTTAACTAATTGCCTTCCTCTCTCTTCCCCTCTAGAACGCCTTCCTCTCTGTGACATGCTGGTGGTGAAGTCCTACAGCTACATGAATCTACTGCTGGGTTATGGCCCCAAGAAGGAGGTTAGCTGCAATATCTACTGGTCTGTGCAGTCGCACGGCTTCCGTTTGACCTTCGTGGGTGGCATGTCGGCGGTGAATGCTCACTCAATGATGCGGGACCAGCTTGCACAGCACTTAAACCAGCACCACAGCCTAACACAGATTGCACAAATCCTGCACGAGACATACTATCCCATGAGCTCCATTGCCAAGCTGCCAGTGCTGCCTTTCCTGGGGATTCCTGTAAGATCAAACATTCTTATCCATAGTTGATCCTTTACCAACGATGTATATTCCTTTACAGCGCCCACAGGTGCCTGTGCTCTCGTTCTGCATGCTGGCACAGTCGCCCTGTCTCATGCGTCTGACCTACCAGGCGGTGTACTGCTTGGAGCTGCGCTTCCGTGCCAATCGTCTGCTGTCCATTCGGGATGGAGCCAGCAGCCGCTTCGAGCGGAACATCATAGAAGAGTTCACGCCCATACAGGGACTCAAAGCGTTCCTGTCCAAGTACGTGGATGAATCGGCAGCGTATCGTGGACGGGCGCCACACGAGGACGACAATCCGCTGTCGCCCATGGGCATGGAGGATAACTATGGCGGTCCCAGCAGTGTGACGGGTGTGAGTGCGGGCGGCTCGTCGCCATTCCTGGGCGCTGGCATGCGTGGCCCACAATCGCCGAGAGACAGTGGATTGCGCTTCCCTGCGCCGCACACTCCGCCATCTAGCTCCAATCCGCACACACCCGCCAGCCCACATCCGAGTGCGGGCGGAGGAGGCGCAGCGCAGAGTCATGGAAACTTTAACTTGACCTCGCCGCCGGCTCCGCATATGCCGCATCCCTCGCCGGGCGGACTGATGCCTTCGTCGCCACTGAATCCGCAGCCAAGTCCCCACATGGTGCACAGTCCAGGGCCCAATACGATGTACATGCAGAGCCACCAGGACTCGCCCTTCACAGCCATGTCGCCGGCGAACAACCAATGGCCCGGATCTCCAAGCATGCCACGTCCTTCGCCCAGGCCTGGACAGAGTCCGGAGCACAAGAGCACGGGAGGTGGCAGCGTAGGGGCAGGTGGGCAAGATCGTGGAGGAGCCAGGGGTACACTCAATCGACCCTGGGCTGGTGCCACGCCCACTCTGCTCACCCACGAAGCCTTGGAGACCCTCTGTCGGCCCAGTCCGCACCCGAACAAGGATATCAATGTGACGGACATGAGCCCGCTGGAGCGCTTCCTCGGCTGCGTCTACATGCGCCGCCAGCTGCATCGTAACATCCAGAGCGAGGAGTCGCTCACGGCGCTCAACTCCACGGAGCCGGGAGTAGTGCTGTTCAAGGTGGACGGTCTGCAGTGCCAGGTGATGCTCAACCAGATGCACATGCAGACGCTACACCTGAAGATCACCCAACTGCCTCCGCCGCCCGACAAGCCCACATTCCAGCTGAGTCCCGACGATCTCCTGGTGATCGAGCAATACTTCGACACCCGAGTGGCAGCGCCGCCCTATCGCCCGAACTCCCTGCACAGCATCTGCCGGCTGCTGAACCTGCCCGCCCAAGTGCTCAAGGATTTCGTGCAGATCATGCGACTGGAGCTGAAGCCAGAGTTTGGCGGGGATCAGCTCAAGTGGACGGTGCAGATGTGCATGCGAATGCCGCCGTCGGCGGTGCCCATTGTGCCCAGCGGCAATGCCTGCGTGGTGCTGGGCAGGATGAAGATACTGTTCTTCCTGCAGATCACCAAGATCCCGTACAACGGCAAGGACTGGAAGGACAGCCCCTCGCTGGTGCTGCCCATCGTCTACGACATTACAACGAACCTCACCCAAATGGCCGAGCGCAGAGAGCAGGTGCCCTCGCCCATGATGACTGCAGCCAGCACACTCCTGCGCCGCTTTGCCGAGTTCAATTCGCAGCAGAATCAGTGCTCGCTGTTCCCGGCCATCACGGATCTGCTAACGAATCTGCAGCTGGCCACGGACATGCCACAGCCCCCGCCCAATCAGGCCATTGGACCACCTGTCGGTGTCGGCGTCGGTGTGGGAGTTGGCGTCGGTGTTGTTGGCTCCAGCCCGAATCCCATGATGCCAATGCAGCAGCTACAGCCCCAAGTGGGACCACAAGGACAGGTTGGCCCTGGCGGCTACCCACAGCTTGGCCCAAATCCCGGCGGTCCGCAGTGATGAAGGCGCAAGCGCCGTGCCTCCTCACTAATGCCGTGAGCAGGCACCAGAAACGGCGACCAACCCGAACTCGAAACCGAACTGCTGCACATCTTATTTATTCGACAAAGAAAAACATATTCTATAAGCAGAGAAGAGCACTCAAGCTGTGCAGTTTATTGTGCACTTCCCCCAGGCAAAACCGCACACCGTACACCATTTACTCTTTAATCTATAATTCGATATTAATATTTGTAAAGTGGCACGAGAAAACCTGTTTATACGCATCGCAAAATAATATTTATTTCCTGTGATCGCTCCCGGGAAGATCCACATATGCAGACTCCTGGCAGCGAACGGAAATGTTGATACTGATCAAGAAATGTAAACAATTGTATTTTTTTTATGTAAAATCCCATTTTTAGCTCCACTTTGGAGACAATTCCCCACAGAATAAATTCACATTGATGTTGTGGTAACAGTTTATTGTGCCAAGATGACCCATCCATTTGTAGTAAACAATACAAAGTGCGGCTAGGTACGAGTATGTAAACAAAATACTAACTAAATGTATGTAAGTGTAAGTGTGAGTGTAAGTCGTACTTCTGTTTCTTCGTTGCTAATGATTGTATCACATGATTCTTTACAGCTTTGCCCAACTGCCAGAGAGGTGAGAGGTAGCTGGGAGGCAGGAGGAGTTCTCCAGCAAGTGATTCGTGACTTTGATGCACCCGAGGTTAGTTATTGTTGTAATTATATATTTTATATGGTAAATATCTAACTGATCCCTTTTCTATTTGGCTTTGTTGCTGGTCTTGGCTGTCCCAACTACTGCTACTGCTGTGCCGCAAGCTGTGTGTTGTCCATTTGGTTGGTCAGCTCCGTGATGCCCTCTTCCTCGTCGGAGACCAGATCAACCCAGTAGCGTAGCTTCTTGCCGCGCAGATAGCTGGCGGAGTTGTCAAAGACAACAGTGTCTGGAAGGAAAGGAGCAAACTTGGTTAGGAACTCCCTTCAATGATGGAGCAGCAGCTACTACTCACATGTGGTGTTGGGTCGCGTGGAGATGTAGCCAATCTCGTCCATCTCGTTGGAGTAGACTGTGCCCAACGGCACCTCGCTTCGCTTCTCGCCCGACTTCTCGTCCACACTGTAGATGCCGAACTTGATGTCGTAGTCGATGGTCCGGAACTCCCAGGAAAGTACCTTCTGCTCTTCTAGATTGACTTTAAAGTGCAGCTTCAGTTTATCCCCCTTGGGCACCTGCGTTTCTTTAAAGTCCTTGTCGCTCTGTTGGCTATTCTGGTCAATGAAGAGATCCTCGGGCAGCTTACCACCCCAGGTCATCATCGACTTGCATTGTGGATCTCCCAATTTATCCACCAGTTCGCCACCCCAGGCCTTGGGGAACACCTTCGGATTCACGTGCGAGAAGAGCTGTTGCTGCCACTTGTCCACTCCCGACTTGTAGATGACGATCTTGCTGGTGGTGTTCTCGTCCAGGAACTTTTTCACTATGTTGAAGGCTACGGAAAACAGCTTTGGCGCATTGATGATGTAACACATCTTGAGCAGCTCTGGGAAGTTGGCCTCGTACTGCTTCACCGAAGAGATGATACACTCCGCCGCCGGACGCCAGGCGTATTGCTTCAGATTCACGTCCTGCATGTCGAAGAATACCACCAGCTGGCGGGCCTTCCAGCCATGATCCAGGCTCTGCTCGTAGGCAGTCTTCATGAAACGTTCGATGAGCAGAACGAGATACTTTTGGAACTCGAAGCGTGTGACGCAGTGCATCATGCCCCAGATGTCAAAGTTGTAGAAGGGACAAACCAGCACTGAAAAAAGCAAACAAAGTATCTCAGTACCAGATGGCTTAACCGGAAGAATTTTCACTTACCTGGCGATCCTTCGTTGTCGTAGCCTATCAGGCCATACGGCAAATACTCCTTCAGAGCCTTTGGAGGATCCCACTTATCGATGTTGTCCACATTCCACATGGCTCGTGTCTTCAGGCTCTACATTGATTTAGGTAATAATAATTATAATTATAACAATAGAACTTAAGTAATTAATCATGTCCTTACAGCTCTTAGCATTTTCTCTGCTGCCTCCAAGTTCCATTTGCGGGCTGTTTGGGAGAATGTTTGGAATGGTAAGCAAGGATCTCCAATAAGGATTATCGTGGGCAGACTCACCTCTTAGCCAGCGCAGTAGGAAGTAATCATCATGACTGTCGACGAGCGCATCGTCCATCTGCTTGCGGAACTATAATTGAATGAAAAGCGTTGCAAGGATCAGTGCTTGTCTCCCAAAGGATGTGATTATATCGATTCCTATCTGTAATCCTGATTGTATATACAAGTCCTATTGATTCAAATAAAAATTGTAACAGCAAAACTTGCATTGTTTCCTTGGTCCTTAAAAAGGACTCCATGGGGTCCTTGGTCCTTGAAAAAGACTCAGTGGGGGAGAGGGCATTCTCCTTCATGTCCTTACACAACAAAAAAGGCTGCACTGTTGTTTTTGTACAACAAAAGTTGTTTTTGTTTTTGTACAACCATTCAATTTGCACAGTGGCGCCACCGCGATCTCGACGGTTACTTCTGGAACTAAAAATTATTTGCACAGTGGCGCCACCGCGATCTCGACGGTCACTTCTGGAACTAACTTATTTCCAACTGTCAAATTGAATTTATTGAATTTCATAGCAGCCAGCTTTTGACAAGGTGAAAAAACATGGGAGCCAGTTACCTTCTTCTGACTTATGTTTGCCTGGTACTTGGTCTGGAAATTTTCCAGTTTTTGGCCATTTAATTGAAGCAATTTCAAAAGATCACAGTGGCGCCCCAACACAGAGCAGCCAGTTCTCGAACTACGCTAGGTTAGTTCTATAAATGGCCGTCTACATCGCAGGGGCGCCACTGCGTTACAACAACAACAGTGTCCATCAAAGCATCCCCCAAAAGTATGCTACACCTTCTGTGATTACATCAGCGCCCAAAATAAACTCGAATATTCGATCGTATAACCCCGAAGGTATGTTATACTTTTATACTTAAATTACATGTATTTACAATATGGGTATTTACATATTTACATACATATTATGTATGCGAATCTTAAGCTGCGCCCTAATCCATCTCGGTCTCACTCTCAATTTGGAAATCTGCAATCAAGGACAGTAAGGATGTTTGTATCCTTGGAATGACCCAGCAAAGAGTACTTGTTGTTTTCTCTTTAGCTGTAAGTTGGCTATCCGTCGACCGCTTGGGCCGTACCACACCTTTTTGTTATCAGGGCAGCTTTCCTAGGTATTCCTGAGTATTCCTGATCGGATATTTCTCAGAGTCCCAATCGTCTCCGATCGCTTGCAGACACAATCTACAATCTTAGACACCTATAAATTCTAAACTAAAACAATTCTAGTACTAAGCAATATGGGACTCTTAATCCACACACATCCGAGTCCCGCATTATATGAAATAAAACTAGATGTTGCTTAATTTCTATACACTACAAATGGAATTGGCAGCGTTGTGAGTTTCTGCCTGCATATACATATTTATAGATATATTTTTAAACACCCCGCTTCTGCCGCACACACCTGCGGCTCTAATCTAGCCGATTCCCAATCAATGGATTTTCTATGTATTGATTGACTGGCGAAGGCCTTGCAAGAGACTGGTAATGCAATTAAATCGGTTGCTTTTCCTATCTCCATCTCGGGCGATAATTTGTATTGCGGTCTAACAGGCTACCTAAACGAATGTCGGGTTGGCCTTTGCTGCATTAATTGTTGTTAATTTTTGTTGGCCTTGGGTCTGGCACTTTGGCTGTTTGCTAACAAAGGTTCATGCAAAATTGAAATTGATCAGCATTCGCATTCTACTTACAGGTTTTCCTTGTTTTTGCTTGACACCTATTTGATTGGCTAAATACTCGACTCACGTACCTTGATTTGCATTAGTGCTTGGTGCACATTTAACACAATTAATAACCGCTAAATTGACTCGCGCCTGGCTGGTTTAGTAATAGCTGAATCATTCCCACTCAATCTGCGTCCCCTTCCAATTTCCCATTCAAGCTTGGCTCTGGGCCAAACCACTTGAAATTCAATAACGAGGCCGGCCGCGTCTTGCATTTGTCCGCTAAGCGCTGCTTCTTTTATTTGTGAGTTTTCGCTTTTCGTAGAGCAACTAAAACCTGGTTGTTTGGCTTTTATTATTAGTGGAGAAGGCTGGCTAGCTGGCTAGCTGGCTGGCTGGCTGGCTGGCTGGCTGGCTGTCTAGCGGAATGGCCAACTGCCCAACTGGCCGACTGGCCCCCAGGTGATTGCTGGCTTAGTTTTTCATTAGCGTCGAATTCTGTGCGGCTTGTCTTGACTTCCTCAAATCCAAAAACAGTCATGCTTTGTGTTGTGTTGTTTGTGGCTTGTACTTGCCTATCGGCCACTGCGCTTTGTTCCTCTACTTCTGACTTTGACTCAGTTTTAGAGCAGCAGCCAGCAGCCAGAAGCCATCAGGTAAACATTCGATAAGCGATCGAAAGTGGACTCTTTATTTGGCAAGGCAAGGGCGAAATGGAGCCCATGAATAATTAATGAATTAACGTGAATAATGTCCACAAACGATTGGCGAATGCAGCGAATGTTGTTTGCCTTTGAATTTAACGCTTCAGGATAAGTAAATGAGGGAATTAATGGGGAGAAGATCTCTCTTCATAACTTAAAAACTCTCCATAAAGTTTCTCTTCTTTTGTGTGTTCGTTTTCTAGTCCGATAAAACCTGTTGCTCTGCTGATTTATGCATAACGCCTGAAATATGTCCGAGGCTGTAACTGAGGCTATGTGATAAGAGGGTCGGAGGCTTAAAGTTCACTCTGGTTGCAAGGGGATGAGCTGTCGTTCTGGGTTAATGCTCTCTCCACTTATCCGTTCGTACACATATTTCTGATGATTCGCCAACACTCATGTTTTATTTATAAACCCCTATAATCGCCGTCGTGCCGGCATGCCAAATGACAAATGACAAATCGCACTTAGTGCTGCACTCGCAGCAATTAAAAAAGGGCAGAGGTCTGGATCTGTTCTGTACAGAAGTTCCGGCAGCAGGGGCAGGGGCAAGCCCCGAAAGATTATAGAATTTCCAGCTGGCCCTGCCTGCACTGCTGGCAACCGGTTCGATGCATTTTACCCACTTTTTGGGGCCTATTCAAATTGTATTCTGGGTCGTTTACTTGTCAACAACAACATTGGTTTCCATTTCGATTTCGCAAGCTGTTTTCATATGCCAGCCAGTGCCAGTCAGCCAGCCAGTCAGCCAGGCAGTCAGCCAAGAACACATGAGTCGACACATGTGCAGCAGCGACTGCAGACCAGACCCCACCACCAAAGCAACGGAGCAATGGCCAGAACAAGTTGTCGCTGCTGTGGCGGCTACTCGTATTGTGGGGCACAGTGGGGCAAACTCTGCTAATCGAAGAGCAAGTCATGCAAAACAATTCCTAATTAGCATAGATCACGCCTCACTGGCCAGGCACTACGCAAACTAGAACATAAAAATCAATCAAGTGGACTGGTTACATCATCTGGGAATTTTTCGAGGAATCGCACACTAAAATAATGTATACAAAACTGTGCCCAAGGGAATATCTAATTCGAGGTCTGTGAATATCTAAATTATTCCCTAGAGAAACAAGGAAATCCATCAGCATAGTCTTATATTCTACTGCCGTGGAATTTTATCTCTCGAACCAACAACAAACACGCACCCAAAGATCTTATCTTTCCCCCAGGAGATGGCGCCAGATACACATATACCCTTCATCCCGTTATGTTTTCCCCGCTCACCTGCTCCAGTGTGGCGCGCTGTTCCGCAGTGATTTCGGGCAATGGGCCGGACATTATGATTTTGTTATTGTTATTGTTATTTCTACAACTAATTGTATTGCGTATCTTTTTATGGAGGTTTATCGACTGAGCGACGTTAAAGCGCTGCCAATT